GGGAGGAAACCAAGAGACAACTGGAAATGACTGGCTTTGCCAGAAGCTTAAACAGGGAGGACGACTAGTTTGGAGAGGAGAGGCAGAAAAGAGACGCCTAAATGTTAGGGAGGCAGATTGGTGGAGACAGAATCAGGTAAGTCTAATCAGCAGAACGCACCGTGACTGAGTATTGACATGAGCTAAAGGAATAAAATATGTTTTTGCTCAAAAATGAGTATTCACTACCAGGGACACAGAAATAAAATATGAATGGTTTTACTGATAGACAATAAATCCCAGCTTTATGCAGCTTTGAGTTTAATCTTCAATATTAGAGATCTCTTTAAATGATCTTATGTCTTTGAATGTGGAAGAGTGTAATGGATTATTGTGTAATCCTATATTTGTCTCTTTAACCACAGAAAGCAGCTTTTTAAGGACAGAACCGGTATCACTGCTGGACTGATATAAAATCAGGAAACGTCAGACATGGATTCAAAGTAAGAAACAAAAATGAAATATTTGCTTTTACTGGTTTGGAGTCTTTCATGTTACATTGAAACATGAAAGTGAAAAGAATATTTTAAACACTTTCAAATTCTGAGACTGTGAAAATAGAAATATCTGAAGCTTGAACAATAACCAATGAGGCAAACTAGAATTTGTAACTAGAATAATGTTGAATGTGTTGAGAAAAATGTCCAATCTAGAAACAGATCTTCATAGTTCTGACAAATTGAATTGGTTTTCTGGCATTTGCATGCACTTAACCCGACACAAATAAGGAAATCTCTGTAGATTAAGGAATAAAATCGGGAGTATTAACTTATATGCATGAATAAAACCTATAATGAATGTCTTTAGATGGTTTAATCTTTAACCCATAGATGCATACGTGGTTCAAAATGACCTGGTGAATTTTGTTTTCTCTCCATATCTTTTTAACAAAAAGTTATTTCATAGTCCAGCTATTCCTCAAAAACAAATCACCTGATTAATCTCCTACATTATTTTATTGGTACATTCTGATCAACTGTGACTGACAGCAATATATATTTTATAGACCACACAGACTGCAAACAATCAACTTACAATTAATGGTTTATTAGATTAAAATGAGTTTGAATCAACTAACCAATAAAACCTTCTTTTAGTGTTGTAATAAAAAACATTTAGTATAGATTCAAAGACGATCATCAGTTATAATGAATGCAAACAGAAAATATCTTTGGCTATTAATACAAAGAAGGAAGTGACCTCATCTACAAGGTGAGGTCACATGACTACTGAGTTGCTATTTCAGGCAGCATTAGTTATGCATCAGTCAGGAGAGCTCACCTATGACTTCCTCCTTTGAAGGAGGACACAGCTTTGGGAGAAATGAGGTAAATGAAGGTGGTTGTTGAAACAAACGACTTCAAAGGATCTTCATGGCATTCGTTGCATTTGGACTCTTCCACTCTGGCTCTGTTAGTGCTAAACTGGATTCTTACAGGAGCGTCACCAGTTTTAGGGAAGAATTGACGTTGAAATGATGTTTGTTGAATTTTACGAAATTTGAGATTCACAAAACACGGCGATATGCTTGCACAGACGTTTTTAAGTCCAGTGAAAAGCATGCACAAAGAGTTGCACCTTATTGTGTATAAGAAAACACCTCCTATGACTTATTCATTCATCCATTTTATTTATTTATTAATATTATTTGCAGAACGTCTGAGGATCACAGACCAGCTTCACCTACACCAACCAGTATCTCAATGAGAAGTGACCGTTCCAGGGACCTTGATGTAAAATTCAAAGGAGGAGAAACCAGGTAAATGAAAGTGTCCCAGCCGAACTGCTTTAACTGAAAATCAAGAAATTCGATAGGAAGGAAATGCAAACAGAAACAGCTGCAATAATTCTGGTGATATGAACGTGAATTTTCGACTAACACATGCAGTAAAGGCAGCCTTTGAAACGTAGATTCAGCCTTCAAACTTGCCACATGTTGACACAATATTTACCTCCTCAATCTGGCAAAGAACTCTGACTCGAGTTTATTTCCATGTTCTAAAGAAATCCTGTGAATTTTTTTTAATCTGGTCTCACTGTGATACTGAAAAATAAACTCATGTATTTGCACCAGTCTATAATGTCACCCATCTTAACAAATTAATCATTTCATTTGGAAAACAGAAATAAAAAAAAAAAAAAAAAAAAATAAAATAATGCTTCTCTTGCAGGATACCTACATAGTTAGTTGACTATGCTGTAAAATGGCACTATGTGCCTTGAAAATGCATAATACTGCATCTTTAAAATGATGCTAAAGCCTCATTTGGCTTCATGCATGCATCAAGATCAGCTCCAGCGTCATTTTACACTAGAGTCACGAATTTGAGCTCCCTTGATTCTTAGTGAGTATATTTTTTCCTTTTCTTCAGGTGTATATTATTACTTAAGGAATAATATGGCCTTCACATTATTTGTAAAGACACTGTAAAGACACAAAGTCTCATTTGTCTTGTGCAGGTGCTTCGTTACGGTAGAAGAGTCATAACTGTGATTTCTGGTATTTTCTGCTTTTCTTTGGTGGTCAGAAACTCATATAGAGATAATTAGTGACAATGTATTATCTGCAGAATGTCTGAGGATGACAGACCAGCTTCACCTACACCAACCAGTATCTCAATGAGAAGTGACCACTCTGGCTTTTATGACATAGACTTCAAAGAAGAAACAAGGTAAACCAAAGTGTTATGGAAAACCGTTATTGTTTCTGGAAAACGCAATTGTCATTATTGTGTGATTGTGTTGCATTTGCAGCCTGCCTAATTATCACAGATCAGCTTCTCCTGCTGCCAGCCTTGGTTCTGAGAGTAATGATCTCTCACATTACTTAAGGAGGGAAGCAGCAAGGAAAACTGTGACATCATTGTTTATACTCAAAACCCCAGACTGTGAGATATGAGATGGGATAAAAGCTGTAAGTGAGGATGTAAGCACACTTGTAGTATATTAGCCAACAATTAAAGGACTCCAAACTGTCCTTTAAGATATGAATGTTGCACACACTGATAATGCGTTAAAAATATATTATACTATAATATATAGTATTGTGAAGCCTTAAAGTAAGACATTTTGTTTGAGCAAAAGTTTTATTCAAACAAAATGCACATATGTATTCAGCTTTTCAAAATGCAGAACAGAGAATATTCTGCACATGTTTGTCCTAAGAAGCTTACAGGAAATTGCTTCTGTAAACATCCATCCTGCACTGTAAAGCGAGAACTGCAGAGCTGAACGAGGCAGCTGTGAATGTTTTTGAAGCGTGGCCAACACAGACTGAACGTCTTTGTTCACTTTGTCCACTGCCATTACTTAAACTACAATTCTAAAACAATGTTATTCTTCTTCTTCTCCTTCTGTTTGCTCATTGGCCTGGTGGAAATCCTACTGGAGAAATCCAAGTGAATGGGAGAAAGCCAAGACTGTGCTGTGAAGAGAAATTTGAATGGAGCTGAATTAGCTGTGGCCAGGCTACTTTTCTGTAACAAGCAAGATTTCTTCAATTATTCCTTTCATGTTTTGTTTCTTGTGTTGTCTTTTTAGCCCTCCACAAACTCACAAATCTGTGACATCAGTGTCTGTAACAAAGCCATCTGAGGATGAACTGCTCAGCATTAAAAGAGGTATGGTTTGCAGTCATGTGTGTCTAGCCTCTTTCAGAACGTTGCACCACAAAACTGAAACTGTGCAACCCACAGACCAATTCCACGTTGGAGGCTTAGTATCCATGTACAGATTTTACCCTAGTGTTAAGAAGCAATAAGATTTTCTGTAATGTTTAAGTTCTAGAATGTGTGTATGTGATCCTTTTGTTTGTGAAATATTTGTTACCTTTTTGGGTGTGTCCTATGGCAGCCATCTTGGAACCTACCAAAGAGGAGACCCGCCTCAAACCCACCTCTTTTATAGAAAGGGCCATGTTTGCTGGAATTTGATTGGCTGGGCAGTTAATTAAGAAAGTGGGGACAACAGTATATAAGGAGACTGCTGGCTGAGCCTTGAAAAAAAAAGGGAGAAAGCTTGAGAGACTGAAAGCTTGAGAGACTGAAGCAGAGAGATTGAAAGCTAAGAGACTGTAGGGAAAGATGTCATTTTGTCTCGTCCGTGAACTATGCTGTGCTGAAGAAGGCCTAATAAACCACCTTTGTCTATGCTACAGCTGAGTTTTCCTTCCACACCACACCTCTCAGTGTAACACCTAGTATATAATAATGTAATTTTTTTTTGTCTGTTAAACATTTTGTTTGTTGCTGAACTGGGCTGATCAGTCCAGAGTCCACCTGCTGCGTTAGAACTATGAAAACAATATATTTTATCTATTTATTGTTTTGTTTTAGTTGGTGGTAATTTGAATACCTTGCTATGTCCTGGCATATTGATTCAATACCTGATTCCCGATAATCAGATGGTGGCATGACTTGGTCGTTTTCAATCTCCAATCAATTTGTTTTATTAATTAGTATTTTTGGGAAGGTATTAATTCCAGTAGATGTTCAAACAAGATCATTATTATTTCCCAATACATGTATACTTTACCTTTGTTTGATTGCTCTTTATTATTTGTTTTGTGCCTTTGCATTTCAGATAACGGTCCTAAGCAACAACTCTGTGAGACCTGGAGGAACTGCATCCTTGCTACCTTTGAAAGTGAGCTCACTGATGTGGAATTTGATTCAGAACTCTTTGAGATAACCAAAAACAGGAAATACATGGATAAGATGGTAGAGACCTACAGCGATCTATTCATTACGCCAAAAAGGAACGACAGGACGGTGCTAACACAGGGAATTGCTGGTATCGGAAAAACATATCATACAAGAAAGTTGATGGTCAACTGGGCAAAGCAGAAATCCAACACACACATCGACTTAATGGTTCCGCTTCGTTTTGCTGAGCTGAATGCAGGGTTAAGAGCTGAAGCGCAAAGCATCGCAGATCTGCTCGATAGTTTTCTCAGTGAAACGAAACGGCCTCAAGTTTCCACCTACGAGGAATGTAAGGTGGCATTCATACTCGATGGTTTGGAAAACTGTCAACTTCCTCTTAACTTTAAGAAGAATAAAAAGCTGACTAAAATCACTGAACGAGCAGCGGTGGACGTACTGCTGACCAACCTCATCAAGGGAAACCTGCTTCCTAACGCTGTGCTCTGGATCATCTCTCAGCCTTCGGGAGTTAAAAAGATTCCTGCTAAATACATCAACAAGGTTCTAGTTTGTAAAGGTACGAAACTTGTTCACTCATGTAAAATAAACATATCAAGGAATGTTGAAGTAAAAATAGTTCAAGAATTAGAAAACAATATTTAGTAGAAACATTAGAATAATGACATCTGTATTGTAATCATATAATAATTGTAGAAATTTATATGAAAACTCAAGGTATTCTTTATCATTTCTAATTTACCTCCTTTTTTAGAGATTGATGTCCAGCACAGACTCACGGCGATCGGGAAAAATGGGATCTTGGCTGCATATGAGGGTGAACTGATTGAAGCGGAGACGGATTCAGAACTCTACATGATCGACACAAACAACCAACATGAAGAGAAACTGGTGAAAACCTACAACGATATGTTTACTGACCTAAAGAAAAAGACTGTGCGAACAGTTCTGACGAAGGGCATCGCTGGCATCGGCAAAACCTTTCAAGCAAAGTTGTTCATGTTTGACTGGGCAAAAGGAAAGTCCAACAAGGACGTTGACATCATAGTCCCGCTTCAGTTCAGTGAGCTGAAAACACAAAAAGAAGCTCAGAGCTTGGACAGTTTGCTCAAAGGGTTTTTCCATGATGAGGCGAAGCCAGGAGTCAGTATCTATGAAAAGAAAAAAGTGGCTTTTGTCCTTGATGGGCTGGAAAACTATGACCTTCCTCTGGACTTCGACAACAACATTGAGCTCACAGATATAAAGACGGCAGCATCGATGGATGTGATCCTAACGAACCTCATCAAGGGAAACCTGCTTCCCAAAGCTCTTCTCTGGATCATCTCTCAGCCCTCAGGAGTTCACAAGATTCCTGGTGGATATATTGAACAAGTTACAGAATGTCGAGGTAAGAGAGCAATAAAAAACAAATGAAGCACCTCATCTACTTTCTGTTGGAAACTATTTCTGCATCAGTTCCTGGTTACATGAAGGCATGTCGTCCCTGACGTTCAGTAATAAATAGTTCTTTCATCCAATACCACATCAGACCCTCTGCCTTTTAATATAGTGTACTCCAAATGCAACCAAACTCAGGTTGAAATAACTTAGAAAAAGAAAAAAAGAAACACTTGTTCTTTTGCTAAACATTGCTCACTTGCTATGAGTTTTGTTAGTTGCCCACTCGTTAGTATAATAGTATAGTTAAAAATAATTCAGTCTAATTTAATTCAAATGTTTATGTAAAGGGAACTGGTACAACAGTCAGCCATTAAGTTAAAAATTTTATAGATTTAATATCAAAACCGTTTCTAGAAAGTTGCGTTATCATACATGTTTACTAAAAACTCCCCATAAAAAACAAGATAACAAACTAAATCAATAAATACTATCTTTGATACAATTTATTACAACTACATAATTGTTCCATTTTTACATTGTTACTACTAACAAGCTAATCTTTGTTTTTCCAATTTAGAAAGCCTCATGCGGCGAAAGAACCTTGTTTCAAGTCTGAAGAGAAGATTCATCCAGGAATACCATGATGGAGGCGAAGATGAAGTCAATCATCCAAATCAGAAAACCACAGAACACATCATGAGAAACGTCCCTGTTGATGATATGAATGATGACGCAACCAGTGAAAACACAGCATCTAAATCACTGATAAAACTAAGTGCTCCCTCTGACGTCTTCAAAAACGGAGGAGAACAGAAAATCCGAACCGTGTTGACCGTAGGAGAACCTGACATTGGAAAATCCTTCCATGTGCAGAAACTTGTTACAACTTGGGCAAAAAATGAAACTCAGCACTCCATCTTCACCTGGGATAAAGATCAAGTAAGACCTTTACAGGGAAAAGCTGAAGACAATTTGGAAGTTATATTTCCACTTGACTTATCAAAGATTGACCTCATTAAAGGGAAAAGGATCAGTTTTCTGGAGCTTCTCAGTTATTTATTTGTGGAGATAAAAGAATTTGTCGTCTCCAACTACACACGGTTTGAATTTGTATTTGTCTTGGATGGACTGAATGCCTGTCAACATCTTCTCCACTTTGACAACAATGAGACAGTGACTGATGTTAGAGAGCAGGCCTCAGTGGATGTGCTAATAACGAGCCTCATTAAAGGAAACCTCCTTCCCACAGCCCGAGTCTGGATAACTTCCAGACCCTCGGCTGCTGAGCAGCTCCCTGATGAGTACGTCGACAGAAAGACTGAAATTCGAGGTGAGATAGTTTTGTTTTTACTAAGATCTGTCACTGATAAAAAGCAGTTTTTAGCAAGTCATGAGGTAGTCAGTTCTGCTGTTCTTAGGCAGGGAAATGATCCAGTGATTGAATGATGTGGTAATTGTGGAAAAAAAGACACAGTGTGGCTTAATAAGTAAGTGTATACTAAGACTGAATCAAAACTGGTAACAATATCAAGCCTAGAATTACAATAGGTATTTCAAACCCTCATGCAACATATTATGCGTCTATCAATCCATCCATTTTCTTAACACCCTTGTTCCTTAGT